TTTCCAGCCCGAGAACCTCCTGTACACCTCCAAGCGGCCCAACGCCGTGCTCAAACTCACCGACTTCGGCTTTGCCAAGGAAACCACCACGCACAACTCGCTGGCCACACCGTGCTACACGCCCTACTACGTGGGTGAGTGCCTACATGGGGTGCCCTACTACGTGGGGTCTGGGCTGGGGGCTTTGGAGGGTGCATCCCATAAATTCTGATCCAGCCTGAGCTCTGGGGTGATGCTCTCCACTGCTTCCCAAAGTGCCCGGAGCTGCAGGCGGCTCTTGGTGGCTCCATGGGGTGTCAGAGCCCTCTCACCCAGTGCTGACACCACAATTTAGGATTTTCTTTCTGTCTTCACCAGCCCCGGAGGTGCTGGGCCCGGAGAAGTACGACAAGTCGTGTGAYATGTGGTCCCTGGGTGTCATCATGTACATCCTGTGAGTCTGAGGCTTCCTCTCCATCCTGCCCCTGGCACTGCCCTGTGGGTGCTCCTGGGGAGGATTTTGGGGTGACACCGTGCCTCTGTCCCCTGCAGGCTGTGTGGGTACCCCCCATTCTACTCCAACCACGGCCTGGCCATCTCTCCGGGCATGAAGAAGCGGATCCGAATGGGGCAGTACGAGTTCCCCAACCCCGAGTGGTCCGAGGTGTCAGAGGAAGGTAAACGTGTCCCTGTGGTGGCTGTCCCCAGGCTGCTTTGGGGGGCTGGGGGGAGCCTGGGGGTGTTGGGGTCACCTCAGGGTGCAGCAGCACCTTCAGCTCTGCTGGAGAAGCTTTGCTGAAGGGTTTGGGTTGGGTGTGGGGCACACAGGGGGTGTGTGCAGGGATTTCGGGGCTGGAGCTGGAGGGTTGGAGCTCAGGGAGGTTGGAAATTGGGAAAGTTGGAGTTCAGGGAGGTTGGAGCTTGGGGAGGTTGGAGCTCAGGGAATTTGGAACTCAGGGAGGTTGGAATTCTGGGAGGTTGGGATTCTGGGAGGTTGGAGCTGAGGCTCCTGACCCTTCACCAACCCCTGCAGTGAAGCAGCTGATCCGGAACCTGCTGAAAACAGACCCGACCCAGCGCATGACGATAACGGAGTTCATGAACCACCCCTGGATCATGGTGAGGGTGGG